CGTGGGGACTCTCTCGGGCTGTCTGGGAGCTCTCTTGTGCTGCTCGACGCTCTCTTGAGGCTGTCTTGAAACCCTCTTGGGGGCCTCGTGGACCGTGTGGCGCCGATTTGGGGAGCCCTTGGGGCCGACGTGGCCGCCGATGGAACATAAGAAGCGAATATCATAGAAATGTACATTTTCCATTGGAAATACTAGTTCTTTGCACCCGGGAGCCTTGTCAGCGGCCTCTTGGACCGTTTTCAGAGACCCGGTATGCCAGTTCGGCCGTTCTGGGTCCCTCTTCGCCCGCCATGGGGACCTGAGCCCGTCTTGGGGCCCTCTGGTGGCCCCCTCGGTCTGGGGCTGATTTTGGAAGCCTCTAGGGCCGTCGCGGCCGCTGGTAGGACTGAAAAACAAATATCCAAGATATATACGTTTTCCCACTGGAAATGCTTGATCTTTGCCCTTGGAAGGCCTTCTCGGCCGCCTCTTGGACCGTCTTGAATGCCTTTGTGGCCGTCTAGTATCAGTCCTGGGCTGTCTTGGAGCGCTCGTGGCCCGTCCAGAAGCCATCTCAGTGCACCTTCCAGACAACATTGGGCGCTTTGGGCGCCTCTTGGGCCAGCTTGGGAGCCTCTGGGGGGGTCCGGGGTCCCTTCTGAACCCTCTTGGAACCCTCAAGGCCCCCCCGGCCCCCCATACCAACCAGAGGCATCAGTTCTGGGCCCTCCCCCGATCTACTCCGATAATTATGTGTGTATATATATATATATACAGACATACATACATACATATACATATACACACATACGACGCCAGGAGGTCTGGGCCAGAAGGAACAAAAAGAGTTAGAAAGGAATGTGGTGAGGAATTTCCCAAAAAGTTAGAAAGGATTTTCGCGTTTAGTTTTCGACTCCAGGAGGTCTGGGCCAGGAAGGAAAAAAGGAGTTAGGAAAGAATTTGATAAGGAATGTCCTGAATTGGCATGGGATTTGTTTTTTTTTGTTTTTTACGCCGCCAGGAGATCTGGGCCAGGAGACCCAAAAAGAATTAGAAAGGAATGTGATAAAACAAATCAGAATTAGAAAATACTATAGTTTTTTGTGGTTCAGAACGGAAAAAAGGAGTTATAAAGGAATGTGGTGAGGAATTCCAAGTGTGAGACAGGAATATCGTTTTTCTGTATTTGTATGTTCTTATTTTACGATGCCAGGAGGTCTGGGCCAGAAGGAAGTTAGAAAAGACGTTGGTAAGGAATTCCCAGAGGAATGCAGTTTTTTTTTACGCCAGGAAGTCTGGGCCAGGAAAGAAAAAAAGGAGTTATAAAGGAATTTGCAAAGGAATTTCCAGATAAGGAATTGCCAGAGTTAACAAGGAATTTTGAATACCAGGGAAAATTCTGAATCTCAGAGACAGATCGAATCAGAACTGCCCGAGGAGCGCCAGGGCAAGGAAGGGAAAAAGGAGTTCGAAAGAAAGTTGATGAGGAATTTCCAGGGTCAGCATTGCCCGAGACAATCGAGTCAGCATTGCCCGAGAAGCGCCAGGGCAAGGGAAAAGGAGTTAGAAAGGAACTTGATAGGGAATTTCCAGAGTTAGAAAAACTTGAATACCACAGAGAATTCTGAATATCAGAGACAATCGAGTCAGAATTGCCCCAGTAAGGGAAAAAGGAATTAGAAAGGAATTGAATGAGGAATTTGCAGGGTTTGAACGGAATTTTGAACACCAGAGAGAATTCAGAATCTCAGAGACAACCGAGTCAGAATTCTCCAGGAAGGGCCAGGGCCACGAAGGGAGAAAGGGAGAAGAAAGGAACTTGATAGGGAATTTCCAGAGTTAGAAAGGAATTCTGAATACCCTCGAGAATTCTGAATCTCAGAGACAATCAAGTCAGAACTGCCCGAGAGGCGCCAGGGCCAGGAAGTGAAAACGGAGTTAGAAAGGACTTTGATAAGGAATTTCCAGAGCTAGAGAGGAATTTTGAATACCAGAGAGACTTCTGAGTCTCAGCGACAGTCGAATCAGAATTGCCCGAGAAGCGCCAGGGCCAGATAGGGAAAAGGCCCTTCCTTCCTGGCCCTGGCGGTTCTCGGGCAATTCGGACTCGACTGTCTCTGAGATGAATATTTCCCTTTGGTATTCGAAACTCCTCTCTAACCCTGGAACTTCCTCATCAAATTCCTTTCTAACTCATTTTGTTCTTCCTGGCCCTAGCAATCATCGGGCAATTCCGCTTAGATTTGTATCTCATACTCAGAATTATCACCGGCATTAGAAATTCCTTTCTAACTCTAGGAATTCCGTTTCCAATTCCTTTCCAAATCTCTAGAAGTGCATAAGCAAAAATCTCGGATCATCATTATGAGCCTGCAGTTTAAATTCCCGTCACAGATATTGCCGTACTTGCATACAGCGCACGCTACAGCAAATAACTCCTAAACCAAATAACGCTGTACTGTAGCCAAAAAACTATAATACTGGCTGAAAGGGCTGGGGAGGGAGAGGTGGAGAAGGAGGATGAGGAGGAAGAGAGGGAACGTGGAGAGGGGCGATGGCAAGCTAGGCGCGCTCGCGCTATATCTGACATCCTACCCCTCCCCCCAATCCCTTCCCATTGCGCCGATGCTTTCTCTATCCACGCACGAGTGTCATAGTGGACCTGGAACTCCAACACAAACCCCATCGTATGATACGCAATGTAAACAAGGGAGCTGCGTGCATAGGAGAAGGAGGAGGAAGAGTCGGCGGACGAGCAGGAGGAAAAAAAAGAAAAAGAATAACGAAGAGGACGAGGACGATCAGAAGGAGGAACTGGAGTGGAAGGAGCGGTAGGAAAAAGAGGACCAGGGGAAGGCGGAGGGGAAAGGAGGGGGGCGACAACGATGAGGAGCGACTCGGATCTAGAAAAGTGGCCAGCGCTGGGACGAGAGCACCGTTGGGGGATGGGAAGGAGGTAAACGAATGGTTTGGGTAGTTAATGTGGGGGAACACTAATAACCAATGGAATTTGAGGACGATTCGATGGAGAAAGGAGGTGGATAGGATGGAACGGAATGCGATGGGGAGCGGAGGTGTCAAGGGAGAGCATCAGCAAGAGGAGAGGATATCCGAAGGACAAATACGATAACGACGACCATGACTAGGAAAGATAAAAAAGGGGGGCAAAGATGAGGATGAGGAAGAGGGATTCCCGAGTAGGAGCGGGAATATGGATGATAAGCGAGGGCAGAGGGACCTAAGTTGGGAGGGACAAAAACATGAGGGATAGGTGGTCTTTGTTGCAGATGTCTCAGACGAGGCCACCCACATGAACAAAAACAAGATACCGAACGACGGCAGAAGACCAGCTCAAGGTGGCTCGGTAGCTCCCAGGGCCGTCCCAAGACAGCCCCATGGACCCCCCAAAGCCCAAAGCATTGATCACCTGGCAGATCTTGGCCCAGCAGCTCGAGGCAGAACAACCACGGCACAACCAGAAACTCTCGGAGCTCCTCGCGGAGCTCCGAACGTTTGTGTTTACGAAGCTGTTTGAAGGGGAACGTCAGGGAGAGGCTGGCTCAAAGGGGGGAACATCGACCCGGACTCGGCCATACATCGCCGATGGACCGGCGACAAGCCCCTGATGGTGAAGCCGCGCCTTCCTGGGCCCGCTGCAGATCCACGAAGTCCGCGCCGACCCCAGAAATCCGTATTTGTGTACAATTTTTGGCCGCGCCCTTCCACGCTCCTCCTGCTGCATGGCGGCACAAGTCGCTCTAAGGGCAACGACACCCCCGTTTTGGCCTCCTGTCGCCAGCGCAGCCGTCCCCTGCCTGGCCGCCGACGTCAAACGTTTGTATTTAGGTCGGGCGCGTCCCCCTACAGGGGGATTTTGAGCGAAAGCTAAAAAATACCAAACAAATACCCCGAAATACATCGCCGTGACGAAAGTTTCTTTCAATTTGCCTTTAGAATGACGCGCTCGTGCGGAGTAGTTCGGAGTAGTTTTACTAAAACTACTCCGCGCGCAATCGCATCCCGCTCGATAATGTATATGGTTTGGCGCGAAGAAGTTTCCGATCCCGTTTTGGGAGAACAGAGTTATCAACGTCTCCGGGATCGGAGGCTACTCCACCGAATGATCTCAGCATCATGTCATGTTAGGAATATTGAGAGGGATGGGAGAGTCTTCATCATAGCAAATTGAAGAAACTGTTGTCACGGCTGTGTACTCAAAAATATTCAAAACATCGTCCCCAGACTATTCTTGGACCATTTTTGAATCGTCCTCCTGTAGAGGGACAGGCACGACTTAAGTTTGCATATAGCTTGTTTCCCTCTGGGCACGGGCGCCTCCACGGGGCGGGGGGCGGCGGCTGCCCGCCGCAGGGGCCGCTCGGCCCCGACGGGGCGAGACCGCCAGCGCGAGGGCGCCCTGGGGGACTCCTCCCCGAGCCCAGCTGCCAGAGAGGAGGGCGGCCGAGGGGGCCGAGATGGGGAGGGGGGGGGGCTCGAGGAGCCAGGAGGAGCGGCCAGAGAGGCAGCTCGCCGTCGCTCGGACGTCCACTCCCCGTGCACTTTTCGGCCTCGTGCGTGTTTTTGGGGGCCCGATGGTCGAGTATGCTCCTCGATGGCCCTCGCCGAGAATAAGCGCGCAAGAGCGAGCGCAGGCAGAGGGGCTGAGGAGGAGGAGGAGGGGCCGCAGGAGAGAGCAGGAGCGAGCAGAAAGGCGAGAACGAGCGCAGGCAGAGCCTTTCCGAGTTCCGCACCGATTTCGTGGGTCGGCGCTGGGGACCCCCCCGGCGGCGCCTCCGGCGCCGATCCAAGAGATCCGCGCGAGCCTCCGAAAGCCTATGCTCGTGCAGTTCTCCATCTCCCTCTCTGGAAGAGGGAGGAGGAGGAGGAGGAGGAGGAGGAGGAGGAGGAGGAGGAGGAGGAGGAGGAGGAGGAGGAGGAGGAGGAGAGAAGGGAGAGCCTGCACCTGACCAACACCTGGCTCAGGGCGAGGGCGCCTCCTGCCTGGGGAGGACAGGCCCTGCTCACATCTGCTTGCACTCGTCCCCTTTCGCGATGTTCGAGAAGGCGCAGGACCGACAGCCTACGTAGCCGCCGAGGGTCCTGACAGACTTTATCACGTCGCCCTTGAAGCCGTTGTACCACGTCTCGCCGTCCTCGCGGTGCGAGCCCGAGATGAGCCACTTGTGCCGGTACGGTGTCACCATGATGGCAGAGAGCCAAGAGATGGCACAGACACACACTTTGGGAGGCCCGAGCGAGTTCCTTGGCTCGGCGGCCCCACTCGAAGACGAGGCCATGGACCGGGACAGAATCGGACCGGGATCGATCGGGCATCTCTGAGATCAGGCGGTTCGGGAGGATGCATCGGGCGCCTCGGCCGTTCCAGCGCGCTCTGGAGCGCTCTGGAGCACGTTCCAAGACGCTCTGGAACGCCCTATCCCGGTCCTGTGGCCTGCCCGACCCTCCCCTGGAGCGCGCAGGGGGCAGCGCCAGAGGCGCCACCAAGTCTGCGGGGGGGAAGGGGGCCATACATTCGGACCTAGGACAGAAGAACATCCTTCAAGAGCATGAGACCCTTCGCTGGCCAAAATGAAGAGAACTCGAGGGTACCCTCCCCCAGGATGCACAAGAACATCCAACAAACACGAAAAACATTAAGGGACCCTCCACAAACCGACCTCGATCTTAAACCTCGGTCCGACGGTACGATGGCTGCAATCGATCCAAGACGTTCGCGCGGGCTTACGCCTGCGCCTCTGACCTCTCCGGTCGTACTTTTTTCAAGCCGCGGCCCAAGACGTCACGGCTGCTTCCCCAGGGGTACTTTGTCGTCCCAGATCCAATTCTGATGGCCCTGGGGCCAGCAGAGCCCACAATCGAATCGCTAAATCGGATCGGCGACCGGAATGAATCGGATCGGCGACCGGAATGAATCGGATAGGCGGAGATCGGCAGGCAAGTCGGGAGAAGTTGAATCGGCGGAAATCGGGGCAACTTGGTATGCTCCAAATCGGTATCCGAAGTCGAATCGAATCGGAAGCGGAAGCCATCGAAACCGAATCGCATCGGAGGAATCGAAACGAGCCCCGTGGGGCCCGAAGACGTCCCCCCGAGGGTCCAAGTCGGAGAAAGACCCATGCGTCCTCGGACGTCCGGGACGTCCGCGCGGGCCTCCGAGGAATGGCGCCCGCGGCGCTTCTCTGCGGCACTCCCGACGTGGGTGCGGAACAAAGGAGCGACGACCAAGCACGGGTCTTGCGCGAGGCGTCGCAGCGACCTTTACGCGGCGGCTTCCTCCTCCTCCTCCTCCTCCTCCTCCTCCTCCTCCTCCTCCTCCTCCTCCCGCAGCGCGGCTCGCCACAGTGGAGACGAGGGTGCTGACGCGCGACCTCTCGCCGTCGCTCGGACGTCCACTCCCCGTGCGTTTTTTCGGCCTCTCGTGCGTGTTTTCTTGGCCCGATGGCCGGGTATGCTCCTGGATGGCCCTCGCCGAGAATAAGCGCACACGTCCGAGCGGTGCCAAGGCTTACGCGCGACCTCACGCGAGCAGGTTGCGCGCCGACGTCGGTGAAGATGACCCCGCTTTCTTCCGTCGCTCAGATGCCGCAGCAGATGTTGTGCAAGACCGACAGCGGCCGCTGCTGGGCAGGCGACTCTTCTCGAATGGGAAACATCCACGGCAACACCGACACGAGTCTTGCTGTCCTTCTGCGTCACCGGTCTACCTGTACCAATTTCGATCGTACCGAAAGACGTCCGCACGGACCTCCGAGAAGCTACGCCTGCGCCGATTCTGCAGATATTCGATACCTCCTTTTTTCCGTACGCGGTCTCCGAAGTCCCGACCCACTCCCCTAGAGGCCTCCTAGATGGGGTCCGAGTAGATGGAGTCGGAGGATCGCACCGCATCGCCGCTACATCGCCGATGCATCGCCGATGCATCGGCGATGCATCGGCGATGCACTGGCGACGACGGCGGTGCATCGGCGACGTCGGCGTGGAGAAAATTGGGCCCCACATCGAGCAGCATCGCCGATGCATCGGCGATGCGGCGCGATCCTCCGACCCCATCTACTCCGACCCCATCTAAGGTTGGGGGATGAAAAAACTACCCTGCCCTGGCTTACAAGTGCGTGGTCTGTGAACCTCCTGGGAACCCCAAAAGCCTTAGAGCCGCCAGGACGCGGCACATCACGCAGAAATTACCCTGTCAACCCACAGGAGTTTCAGCGCACAACGCCTCGTAAACCAGGGTAGGGGCGTTTTTTATGCCATTGATAAGAGGCCCAGATCCCCAGGGCAGGCTTTCCATCGTGGGCTGCTTCTTGGCGGGCCCGGGGGCCGGTGAGGACCCCCCAGAAGGCCGAGCACAGCGAAGCAATTCCGCTCTGATCTGCTCGAGACGTCGGATGCCTGGGCCTGTGGCGGCCTGTGGCTCCCCAGCTGGGCGGTTTTATTCTCTTGCACGGCTGTGCTCTAGAGCTCGGACATCTTTCCTTTCGTCGTGGTTCGTGGTTCGTAGTGGTTCGTCCCCCTCGGCCCCTCCCCTGAGCCTGAGCCCCAGCTCCCCTGGGCCACCCACCCTTCGGAGGCTTGCTCCGTCCAGGCTTCCCAGGACAGCCCCCCTGGGCCGCGGACATTCTTATTTTCGCCGTGGTTCGTGGTTCGTCGTGGTTCGTCCCCCTCGGCCCCTCCCCTGAGCCTGAGCCCCAGCTCCCCTGCGCCACCCCCCCTTGGGACCCCCTCTCCGTCCAGGCTTCCCAGGGCAGGCCCCCCTGGGCCGCGGAACCCTTTACAGCTCCTTTGCGCAGCTCCTTTGTGCAAGAGCCAGGGCAAGCGTGCCACTGGTTTAGCATCGCTCGGGCGTGTGCATGTTTCTTCGGCGAGGACCATCGAGGAGCAATTTGGGTCATCTTTCGAAAAATACGCGCGCTAAGCCGAGAATGGACGTCTTGATTTGCTCAAGACGCTGGATTCGGCTACACGCAAGAGTGACCCTAGGCAAGAGTGGCCTTTGGTGCGCGGCTCTTTGAGGGCCGCGGGGGGACCAAACACAAGCGTGCAAGACGCTGCTATCGCACCATACTGGGCGATCGGAGAGCCCAAGTGGGCTCGCACCAAAGGTCCCTCTGGCGAAGGGTCACTCTTACCTTACGTCGGTACTGTAGATGAGCAAAACATGGCATAAACATAAACTTCGGACATCCTGCGAGGATTTCTTGGATCTGCGCTGGACCCCCCTCCCTGGCGCGCGGAACGCGCCAGGGGCGGCGCCGGAGGCGCCGTCTGGGAGATGCCAACGCGGATCCAAGAAATCCGCGCGGACCATGGACAGTTTATGTTTATGCCGTTTCTTCTTCGACATAGGCGACAAAGATGCATCGACGACATCAGCGATGCATCGGCGACGCCATCGTGGAGACCAATGGGCCCCACATCGAGCCGCATCGCTGGTGCATCGTGTCGCGATCCTCCGACCCCATCTATTCCGACCCCATCTAGGAGGCCTAGAGCACCAAAGGTCACTCTGGCGAAAAATCATTCTCACGTGACGTCTGGGCCTTTGGCTCTCCGGATGGGCACGTTCTTCGGGGCCTCGCGGGCCCCGCCTGGCTCGCCGCTGCCGCTGCCGCTCGCCGGCTGCGAGGCCACGGCCGCGCCGCCCCCGGGCTGCGCGGCAGCAGACGCCCAGGCGCTGGAAGGCGCCCCCCGCGTGCGCGGGCGCATCGCAACCAACGTGCTTCCCACGGAGGAGGCGAGGAGGAGGAGGAGGAGGAGGAGGAGGAGGAGGAGGAAAAGGAGGAGGAGGAGGAGGAGGAGCAAAAGGAGGAGGAAAAGGAGGA